TTTTCATCGTAACATGTCCGCTGTGTGGAAGTATTTTACACTAAATACTGCAAGACATCAACGTGCAATGTCTGCAGAGCCGCTGACCGAGAGGAGGAAGCTCGGTCGCGACCTACAATACATCAAACTTAATAAACATTTGAAAAAGCACCACATTAAAGAGCATGAGGATTGTTTAGCCAGGCACGCGGTAAAGTTAGTTTTACATTGGACGTTCGAGCTCCATGGCTTCAGCGGTGTGTTCCTCTCGTTCAGTCTGGAGCAGACAGTCTGATTTCTGTCAGCCGCGCTCAATCTGCCCGTCTCGGAGGAGGAGCAGACTGAGGGCAGCTGACTGAAATCAGACTGTCTGCTTCACAGCTTGATTGAATACTTGCAGCCAAGATATAGTTTACATTTACCCTCCAGGAGATATTTATCAGCTCAAGATGAGAGTTCTGTGATGGAGTTAAATTCAAAGCAGTCTGCTCAGATAAATAGTCTTAAATTATTATTTTTATATATGAATGTTTCTGTTAACTTATTAATGTTTCTGTACAGTGCCCTGAAATTACTTCTGTTGTGACTTTGGCACTATATAAATAAACTGAATTGAATAGACAATCATAAAGAAAAGTATGAACTGAAAAATAAAAGACAATTATATATGTATTAAAAAACGAAACAAAAACAGCTACATTATAAAGCGATGTAAAATACTAAAAGCAGGAACATGTCTGTGTTGCTTTATGCCATGAACTTAGCAGATGTTTGAAGCCATTTAATCACTTTAATATCCACTTTAAAACTAGGAATAAAAAACAAACATGTTTTGTATTATCAGGATTTAATTCTCTTTAAAACTTATCCAACATTAATAAAACTTACCTCAAGTTGCCTTTTTGGACGTACATGCATATATTTGTACAAACTACTTGAGAGGAGATTATTACAGGCACATAAAATCAATTATGATTATGATATCAGAATAGTATTGGTATCGGCCGAGACCAAGACGTAAGTATCGGATCTGATCGGAAGTTATAAAAATAAAAAAAAAGAAGGTGGATCGGTGCATCCCTAGTTATCAGGCTCCTCTCTTGTGGAACCAACTTCCAGTTTCTGTCCATGAGGCTGACACATTGTCTACTTTTAAGATTAGGCTTAAGGCTTTCCTTTTTGATAAATCCTTTAGTTAGGGTCGGCTTGGGTTTCCTGAGCTATCCCTTAGTTATGCTGCTATAGGCTTAGACTACTGGATGACCACATTTTTTCACTCTGCTGCTGTCTTTACTTTCTCTACCCATTTGCATTTGTAATTATTTCTATCCTTCTTTCAGCTTTTCCCTCTTCAGGGGTCACCACAGCGAGTCATCCTCTTCCATCTCACTCTGTCCTCTGCATCCTCTGTCCTCACTCAAACTACCTCCATGTCCTCTCTAACTGCATCCATATTCTCTTTGTCCTTCCTCTTAGTCTTTTTCCTGGCAGCTGCATTTCTAACATCCTTCTATCAATATACACACTGTCCCTCCTCTGGACATGTCCAAACCATCTCAGTCTGGCCTCTCTAACTTTATCTCCCAGTTGTTCAACCTGTGCTGTACCTCTGATGACCTCATTCCTAATCTTATCCATCCTTGTCACTCCTATGGAGAACCTCAACATCTTCATTTCCACCACTTCCAGTCCTTTCTCCGGTCTTTTGTCAATACCACTGTCCCTAGCCCATACAACATAGCTGGTCTCACCACTGTCTTGTAAACTTTTCCTTTGACCTGTGCTGCTACTCTTTTGTTGCAAATCACTCCTGAAACTCTTCTCCATCCACTCCATCCTGCCTGAACTCTCTTTTTCACATCTTTACTACACTTCCCTTTTTCCTGGACAGTGGACCCCAAGTGATGCACCTTTGTGACCTCTGCTCCTTGTAGTCTCACAGTTCCATCAGCCTCCCTCTCATTCACACACTTGTACTTTGTCTTACTATGGCTTAATCTCTTCTTTCAAGTGCATACCTCCACCTCTCCAAGTTCTCTTCCATCTGTTCCTTGTTATCACCACAGATCACAATGCCATTTGCAGACATCGTAGTCCACAGGTATTCCTGTCCACCTCATCTGTTAGTTGATCCATCACCAGAGCAAGCAAGAAGGGGCTCAGAGCTGATCCTTGATGCACTCCCACCTCCACCTTGAAGCTATTTGTCACTCCTACAGCACATCTCACCACTGTCCTGCTGTCCTCATACATGTCCTGCTGTCCTCATACATGTCCTGTACCAGTCTAACATACTTCTCTGCCACTTCAGATTTCCTCATGCAATTCCACACCTCCTCCCTCAGCACCCTGTCAAATGCTTTTTCTAAATCTGCAAAGACACATTGTAGTTCTTTCTGACCCTCTCTGTACTTCTCCATCCTCATTCTCAAAGCAAAAATGGCATATGTGATGCTCTTTCTTGGCATGAAACCAGACTGCTGCTCACAAATAGTCACCTCTCATCTAAGTCTAGCTTCCACAACTCTCTCCCAGATCTTCATCATGTGGCTCATCAACTTATTTCCCCTGTAGTTGCTACAACTCTGTACATCACCCTTGTTCTTAAAAATGGACACCAGCAAACTTCTCCATTCCTCAAGCATTTTCTCACCCTCAAATATGCCATTGAATATTTGAGTCAAAAACCTCACTTCCATCTATCCAAGACATTTCCAAACCTCCACTCATATGTCATCAGGTCCTACTGTCTTCCTCTTCTTCATTCTTTTCAGAGCTTTCTGGACTTCACCCTCACTAATCTTTCCCACTTCCTGGTCCACAGTTTCTATGGCCTTTACTGTTCCTTCCCTTTCATTCTCTTCATTCATTAGCTCCTCAAAGTACTCCTTCCGTCTTCCAATCACACTCTCCTCATTTGTTAGAACAATACAATCCCTATCTTTAACAAACCTAACCTGCTGCATGTCCTTTCCAGCCTGATCCGTTTGTCTCGCCATTCGGTACAAGTCCTTCTTGCCCTCTTTAGTGTCCAGCCTCCCATACAACTCATCATATTTCTTCCGCTTTGCCTTAGCTACCTCCCTCTTTGCTCTACATCCTATCTCCCTATATTCCGGTCTCCTATTGATTATTTCTATACTTAACTCTTTTTTTTTTTGTCTTTCTTCCAATAGAATGTACACCTGGACCTCTCATTCTGTGTTTGCTTCTCCTTCCTGTCTTCTCAAACCCCAGCCGGTCGAAGCCGATGGCCGCTTGTCCTGAGCCTTGTTCTGCTGGAGGTTTCTTCCTGTTAAAATAAAGTTTTCCCTTTCCACTGTTGCCTTTATGCTTGTTTAGGATGAGCGACTGAGATTAGGTGAAGATTCAACACAATCTGCTGGCTTCCTTTCTTAGATGTATAACTTTTACTAATTGGATTTTTCATGTTTGTGGATGTTTTTGTTCAGTGCCGTGAGATAACTTCTGTTGTAACTTGACGCTATATAAATAAACTAAAATGAATTGAATTATAAACACATGTTTAGCTCCAATGTAACTACTACAGATGTATTTTCTCTCATTCTGTCATTCCCATATTCTACTTGAAACTTGCAGAGAGGTCGTGTTGTCCAGCGCTAGAATTTTGAACCAAAGTCTTTCCTAGCCTGTTCCAAAAAGTTTAACAAAGGCGGGGAAAAAAAGCTATACTTCCACTGCACACATTTAAACTTCTGACTTTACAGGTCAAACATAAGTAATCCAAATGTCTGATCCTTTTTTATTTCTTAAAGAACCCTTTGTAGACCTAATTGCATCATTCTGAGCTAAATTATTGAAAAAAAAAACGTTAGAGACCTAATCACCAAATGCGATGGCTTACTTCCATTACTCATTACATTGTTGTGTGTTCGTCACACAATAAGGTCTCTTCCTCCATTGCCTCCCTTCAGGGTGCCTGTTGGCCATTCGAGTGTTGAGAAATGACAGTGTTTACATAGAAAGGACAGGTGGGTGTGACTCACCCATCTAAACTGTGTCACATTAAAAGCAGAGAAAAGAAATCACAACTAGGAGCTGTTTATCAGACAAGAAGAGCTCAGATATTAAAAGATGATTGTGCGTGGGCTTTTTCTGCTGCGCTCCGGTGGAAAAATGTAGACCCTGCATCCGTCAGGATGACGATAATAAACAACAAAACACATCAAACACAAGCATCAAGAAAGATGGGAAAAGACACAGCACATAAATAGTTGAAATATTTCCAGTGATTTCAGAATGTGATGGTGAAACACTGGATGTTTGTGTCCTCAGACTCAATCCTGCTGTTTTGTCTACTTTAATTGTTTTAAACAGAATCCACTCCTTATATAAAAGTTCAGCATTTAAAAGATTTCACTTACATGCGTAATACGCTATTTTTTATCATTTGATCTATTTTATTATATTCCAATGATACACCCTGGAAAAACTGAAGATAAAGAAAGTATTTAATGAATTTCAACATGATTTTTCTGCTTGATTTGTTTATCACTGAGCCGTCATTCCCCAACATTCATCTAATCTTGTTTTTGACAGCTGTCAACACTTAGAAAACGTTTTGTTACACATATATTACATCATTTTTCAATACTTGTGTTCTGAAGGCTTTCTGTTTTTAAAGTACTTTGTTTTCACAGCTCTTTGTTTTGCATATCACACTTTTGATTTGTCGATCTTGTGCTGGTATTGCATGGAACGGTGCGAGTGAAGACGAGACTCGGAGTCAGGGTTCAAAGTGATTTCCTCTCCGCTTTAGTACTCGATCTAATCGGACATATTGTTGCATGTCAAGAACACGGTGTGCATTCCCTGCTTTATTATTTTACAACATAGTTCTGCCAGTTTCTTTAAAGTTTATTCCATAGGAGGGGGAATAAAAGGAACATAATTACTGCAACTTCCACTCACACAATGCAGAAATCCCAGTTTACGTGTTTATTGTGAGGTCGATTTTGTTACAGAGTGTTGAGCATCTGCATCACGTTTTTCTTCTTCAGAACCATGTGGACCCAGGCGAACGAGCAGACAGGACAAATATCTGCCAGAATGGAGACCACTCCGTCGTTGGGCAGCATCTCCATCTCTCAGCAGCAGGCACCCAAGAAGTTTGCCCCTGTGGTTGCACCAAAACCCAAGTTCAACCCTTTCAAACAGATGGGAGACTCTGCCCAGTCTGACTCAGCAGGTAATTAATCCCAAGGACACCACACGTTACTTGTAGCAAGTAATTTAACAGTAATGATCAAATAATACATTAATGGTCAGGTTTATTTACTTTTGCCTCTTTTGTTTGTTGTCCCCCGTTGCGGAGCAAAGAGGGCAAATTGGAAATATTGTCCATCCATCAGTCCGTGCAGGTTGTGAGCTAAATAACTTGAAATATAAGTGAGGTGTTGACTTCTTTTTTGGTGTGCGGCTGCATCTAGGTGAAGAAAGGTCACTGTCGTTGGTTTGCTACGTCAAAATCCAAGATGGCCACCACCATATATTTTTGTAAACCGGTTATCTCTATTATTTGAGGACACTACTTTCAAGTTTTATTGTAGTTAAAAATATAGTTTCCTCAAATGATTGTGGTGGCCCTTTAAGGGTGTAGTGCGTGGGGAGGGTGTGTGGCAAAGAATAAGCTATAGTGGCCAGTTACCACCACCCCTGGCTCCCTCCACTCACCAGGACCTGTTAGTCTGTGCTGCCTGGGTCAGACAAAGAATAAAAAAACCTCTTCTCTCTTCTTCTCCACAGTGTAACTTCCACACATTTGAACATTTTACGTTCAATTCCAGTCTAAAAACACACTCATCTTGAAAACTACAAACATTCACTATTCAGATCTCTCAGTGACGGGGGATCGACGTACCACTTGAAGATCTGCATTTAGCTTCAGTTGGTTAAAACATGTAGATCTTGCATGAATCGAACAAGAATTTTTTGTTTAACAATAACTGTGTTTCTTACACATTTATTATTATTATTATATATATTATATATATATATATAATATATATAATAATAATATATATATATATATATATTATTATATATTATTAGAAACACACATGTGTTTCTCTGTTATTGACACATTTACACTATAGGACTGTATATATATATATATGTATATGGTATGCATGTAGTACAAATATGATGTGTTTTCATTTGTGTATTGCCAGCTTTCCTATTTCATAACATGATCAGACATCCATGACCAGCTGTACTCAACTCTTTGAAAATAATGGAGTCTTTAGTCTCAAATCTTGGAGAGCTCAACAACCTGGCTCCATCTTGTATTCAAGATTTTATTGTTCCATATTTTCCTAACAGAGCACTTTGCTCTCAGATTGCAGGCTTACTCACGGTTCCTAGAGTTTCCAAAAACAGAATGGGAGGAAGATCTTTCAGTTATCAGGCTCCTCTCTTGTGGAACCAACTTCCAGTTTCTGTCCATGAGGCTGACACATTGTCCAGTTCTCAGACTGGGCTTAAGACTTTCTTTTTTGCTAAATCCTATAGTTAGGGTTGTTTTTTATGCTGCTATAGGCTTACTACTGGAGGACAAATTTACCTAATTTCCTTAAATGAATTATTAAAATTGAATAGTTTTTATTTGATACTATTTCTAGCGTGTGATTCTTGACCTGCCATTGTGTATCTGTTCCTCTCAAACCCTGACGGTCGAAGCAGATGACCACTTGTCCTGAGCCTGTTCTGCTGAAGGTTTCTTCCTCATAAGGGAGTTTTTCCTTTACACTGTTGCCTTCTTGCTTGCTCAAGATATGAAATCACCTATTATTGACTTTATCAGTATTTAGTAGTGAGTCAGTTAAGAATTCAGAGAATTCAATCAAGTGGAATGGATTCATTCATGAAGAAATAGAAACAGCGCTGACTGAACTGTTTCATGGTAAATATGGGGGGTCCAAGTGAACATTTTTTAAATGTGTGCGAGTGTGCGTGGGGAGGACATGTTCCCTTCACATATAATGGTTGTGATGCCTATGCCTGCATGTTTTTCAAAGACAGGCCTTTCCGAAGTAACATAAGAGCGTGTTTCACTGTTATTATCTATGTGGCAAATGCATTTTGCATTAGTTTCCATAGTTTATTAAAATGTTTATATAATCATATAAAGCCCATTGCTAAAGATGTGGCTGTGCTGTGCAGGATCTGGACCTTGAAGAGGCTTTGCTAAAGCTTTTAAAATCTCAGAGCACAATAAACAGCAAAGGAAGAAAGTATAGAAATTACTAGAAGCCATCGTCACTTCACCTGGTATAAAAACGAAATGTTTCTGCCGTGGGAGCGCTGATCATTGACGTGTTTGAGCCTGAGCGACCGTCATTCTTGTTGCTCTGACCACAGATTTCAGAGGTTTGAACACAAAAAATATTCCTCTTGCTTTGTTGAGCGGTCCAACAATGTGGTTTGTGTGAAATATGCTTCTTTTTTTACCATAAAGAAACCCGTGAGAACGAGAAACCCTGAACGATTTAAATAATTGAAATTCTACATGTGAGTAGTGAGAGCTATTACTGCTTGAATAATTTTGGATAAACAGTAGACCTGTGGTTTGCAGTCACGTGTAAGTCCAGGAAGTCTTGTGCGTGACTTCTTTTTTTAAGCCTCCTGGGAAATGATGGTTTGTTTAAATAAAAACAAATAAAGCAACACGTATAATACACTTACTAAAATATGACATAAACCTTTGTGTGCAAGTTTGATTAATTATTGTCATTGTTTTTGTAATCACATTTCAGGTAAGGTTATTAAAAAATATTTTTTTAAGTGCTATCTTTAAAAAAAATGTCTGCGGTTAAAAATAGGTAATTGGTTGTCATAAAAACACTGTACACAAAGAATGTCAGTGTTTCTGTCATGAGAAGTAAATAATTAAATTTAGCTTTGTTCTGAATTTTAAAAGTAAACTTTAAGCATTTAAATGGTAAATATTTGTATCCATTTAAAGAGGAACAATGGTCGGCAGACCTATGCAAATAATAAAAAAAGTTTTGTTAGTTTAGATAAATGTTGTGATATCTCAGGTTTTAAAATTTGTATTTTTTTGTGAGAAAAAGCAGGTCAAGTTGCTGCTACATTTTAATAATAGTGACATTACTTCAGAAACTTGCTCTGTGCATATTGAGAGTTCCTCTGGTGCAATAGGATCATTGACTGGTGTGAAACATGTTTTTAAGTAATTATAAACTGGTGCTGAATTTATTTAGGTCTCCTGTGTCCCAGATGTTCTAATGGTGCAACCTAAAACAGATAAAGCTACATCCCCTCGGTTCTTCCACCTTCCTGTTTTCATGATGTTGTAAGATGAACATTATCTTAACCTCTACCCTCAACCCCTCTGAGAGTTCTACATTTACAAAACAGGGGAAACGGTTATGAAATTTAGCAAGTAGCGATCACCCTGCGAGGCTGAAAACACGTCTGTCAGTGGGGGGTTGTGGTTTGAGTTCAGATCTTCCAGATGTTAGCTTTGCAAAAGTTGTTCTTAGACTGCTGCTTTTTCAGGTCTGCCCATCGTGGAAGAAGAAAAACTTTAAAGCATTTCAAAGTATTTTACGCACGTTTTAAAAATATAGGATTTGAGGTTCAGCGTACACAGTGAAGCAGTTTAAAAATAAACTTAATGCTGGAACAGAAGATAAGTGGAGAGCAGTTTACTATAAAGTACATATTTTTGGTCATAATCCAACATTATTGTTGTTACTGCATTAGTGTGTGTTTATCTGTCTGTCTTTAATAATAATAATAACAATAACAATCATAATAATAATAATAACAATAATAATAATAACACCCACTATCACCAAAATAATGTGATGGGTATGCAGGTCAGCAGCACATGCCGTGTGTGAGGGGAAGCAGAGGAGTCCATTAGTCATATAGTTTCTGGCTGCAAAATATTGTCCCCAAAAGAGTACCTGGAAATACACAACAAGATTGGGACTTACCTGCACTGGGCATTGTGCCATAGAATGGGTGTAAGTACAGCTGACTAGTGGTATGAGCACAGGACTGAGAAAGTGGTTGACAGTGGGGCTTATGCATCATGTGGGACATGACCTTCCCTACTGATCGTACCATCTCTGCAAAACGGCCAGACATTGTGCTCCATGACAAGAACAACAAAATGTGTTGCTTGATGTGACTATCCCAAATGACAATAAGATCCTAAAGAAAGAAGCAGAGAAAATAACAAAGTACAAGGACCTGGAGATAGAAGTCCAACGCATGTGGAACACAAAAACTCAAGTTATACCAATCATAACTGGAGCTTTAGGAACAATGAAGAAAGGATTTCAAGAGCAACTACACAAATTCCCATGTAGAGTCAATGTCAGAGAAATGCAAAAGACTGAGCTGTTAGGGACCACTCACATACTTCCAACGAGTACCCTGCTGGTGTCCAGCCGAGTGCAGAGATTAAACCTGAGGGACCTGGTTGGCCCCTGGTGAATGAACCAGCAATAAATGAAGAAATGCTGAGAAAATAAAGATAATAATAATAATGTTTATTTTACCAGCTAGGTAAATTGAGAACCAGTTCTCATTTACAATAACGACCTGGCCAAGAGGATTAACACAATAGATATAAAACTACAACGATAAAAGGAGAAACGATAAAAACTGCGGCAGACATTGTAAAACTAAAAACAAGTGCAGTGTGTGTGTGTGTGTGTGTTTACATATAATTTTACATACATAACATAATATACATTTCTATGTCTGTCCAAAAGACAGAACCAGATCAAGAGGACGTCTTTTTGCATGTAGAGTCCTGGACTCACAGAGTAAAATTAAGTCAGAGCAAGGATGTTTTTAACTAGTAGTCCAGACTCACAGCACACATCCATCCATTATCTTAACCCGCTTGTTCCTTTTTGGGTCGTGAGGGTCACTGGTGCCCATGTCCAGTAGTCACTGTGTGAGAGGCAGGGGACACCTGGACAGGTCTCCAGTCCATCACAGAGACAAACGAGACAAACAACCATTCACTCTTTCACTCACACCTAGGGACAATTTAGAGTTACCAATCAGTCTAACATGCATGATTTTGGTCTGTGGGAGGAAACCGGAGTACCCGGAGAAAACCCATACATGCACAGAGAGAACATGCAAACTCCACCCAGAAAGGTCCCAGGTAGGGATTTGATCCAGCAACCTTCACACAAGCAA